TTTGGGCTTGAACAATGTAGCAAAATGGACTTTTTCGAATCTGGTACCGTGACAACCATGGCAAATGGCGCCTGGAAAGCTTGCGAAAAAAAACCGTGATGCCTCAGTAATACTGCAAAGTATTTATCCAATTCTGATAACAGGTCCGGATCACATCATAACTAACAATCAGATCAGTGTCCATACCGACTGACATCCTAATATCTCACCCTCAAAACGGTCCGGCCTCGGCAAACAACCCCCAGCAGACCGCCCCCATTGCACGACGAATGGGCGCACAAACCAGCATTGCGCCATCCTAAAACCCAAGTTGTGTTTATTCGAGTCACTTTTTTTCCGATCAAAGCAGATCGCAGGCCTGATCTATCCACAGACGGGTGCAGCCAGCGACCCCACGAACGCCTCACGAGTATCGTACCTTCCTTCTGTACTTCACAGTTCAGGGCATGGAGGTCGAGTGCTTGCTTTCCACCAGAGGTATCCGCAGTGAAGTCCTGTGCTCCCATAACTTTGCAATTTTCCAGGAAGTTCAACTTCACTCTAGTATGAGCCTGCAAGTGAGCGATAAAACATTATGTAACATAATATTCTCATTTCCAGCAAAAGTCTATGGTTCGGTTTCCATTCCACGCAACAGTATAGGGAGCAAAAACCGGGAACAATGCATGGGTGGCGTACCCCCCCCCCCCCCCCCCACAGAACCACATGATACTCAAGCTTCTGCCACGTTTTGCAGGAATTCAGTCCAAGATCACCTGAATTCGACAAGTCTAACTTCTTTCATGCCAACTGAAACCAATTTGCGCCATTCGCCTGGCAAAACACCACCCAGCCTGAGTGAAAAACACCATCACGCGCCAAGCCCGAGTGTGAAACAGAAAACCATCACGCCAAGCCCGATGTGAACAGGAAAACTATCACGCCAAGCCCGAGGGTGAAACAAACTCTCACCCAAGCCCGAGGGTGAAACAGGAAAACTAGTCACGCCAAGCCCGAGGGTGAACAGGAACTATCACTCCAATCCCCAGGGTGAAACAGGAAAACTATCACCCTAAGAAACATACTGGTGCACTCTCCCAAAATACACGACACCCTCTGACTTCCAAGTGAAACATTCTCATATCAAACGTACCTCAAGCTCTTCAACCGCTGTATTCGCGTGAACTTCAGATTGTCGACATCCACAGCGAATGGGGTTGCCAATCCTGTGAATATAACAAGCATATGCATGTACCTCTTCAGCCCTCATGAATGCAATGTTTTAATATTTTTCCTGGGATAAGTATGCTTTAATCACTACAGTGCCCTCACATCTTAAAGGGAGTGTTCCATGTTTGCATGGTGCTTTGAACTGAAAAAGCCCTCTTGTTGAAGATCATTCTAAGCAGTTCACAGCCCTGCCATCTCAACACCTAAACTATTGTAGTTTCTCATGAAGAGATACAGGCTGTTTTGGGGAGGCTACCTGAGGGTCACACAGGCATCCATGAAGCCATGGCATCATTCTAATCCTCCACCATTCCACCAATGCAGTGATCAAGGCCAAGAAAAACATAACTGTGAAGGTGTCCACATTTGGCATTTGAGCATGATTTTCAGCTGCAATGGCCATAAATTGCCCCTCAATCAATAACATGTAAGGTATGATGACCAAATCAAACAATGACATATTGTGGAGCACTCGTACTAAACAGAGAAATTGTGTTGCATAGTTGGTCTTTTTCACTTAAAAGTATACCAATAGATATAAGTGAACTTATTCCATTATTTCTGATGCTTGCTTCAATATCTCCAAATGTAAACATTCCCTTGAACACAAACACACATAGAAGCCTATCTATGTTCAGTCGTAGGGCCGACGGCCGGAGGGTGACGGTGGTGGCCGTGACGTCGGCGTCCAGTCCGGTGGCTCGTGACATTGGATGGGGGCCGCGCCTCTCACCGGTGGAGGGATGATGCGAGCGATCCCTGTCTGCTCAGCTATCGGCCGAATCTTGTTGATGTAGGCCAGGGGGTCAGCGAACTCCTCCTCAGTGGGCCGGAACACCGGGGCCTCCGGTGGCGGCACAAACTCAAACTCTGCCGCCATCACCTGCCTGGAGCACAAACACATTTAGGCATGCTGACACTGCTGACATCAGGCTGGGACACAAAAGCAAATTCTGACATTGCCTCCATCCCCCCAACAAGTGTGCCCAGTTGAAGGAGGCAAACACATCAACAGAAACACCTTTAATAACTGAGTAAGGCCAAAGAAAAGTGAATGACATATTTGCTCTTGGATGACCCAGCCCATCTAATAATGCAGGGCAGATACTGAACTGAAGCTTGAACACCCTGGGCAGTGGGCCTCCTGAGCTATAAAACCAACATGTGAGTGCCTGCAGGATGTGGAGTAAACTGACATGGAGGATAGATGGAATGATAAAACAGACAACAAATGATAAAACTATGAAATCACACATTACTTATCTTTCTCTCGCACACATGTGGATATATATAAAGCATAACACACATACATGTATACATTACATGAACCCCCCAATGTCTTTGTAAGAATTGTACAGAAAATGATCTCTTGCAAGGGCCAGTGCAACCAACTTTTCCAAGGAAACATTTAAGGGCTTCCCAAGCAGATCAGGAGCTTCTTATACCAAGCCTCACCTAATATTTTCCTACTGAATTGCATTCCCTTCTTAAGCCTTTAGCCTTTAACTTATGTCAGACAGACAGTATCCTGAAATTAGATGTGAAAGGTGGATAGCCAATAGGTGAACAAGTTAGCTTTACAGATGGATTGAGATAAGATAGTCTAAACTGTTTTACCCATGACAGCTATGTTTGCAATACCCTTGCCTCCAGCACCTAAAAGCATATTTGGCTGGATGTGAGGTAAATGTAACCATGACCAGTGACATATAGGTAGCTGAAACTTCACAGACTTCAGTCATTATTACAACATACACTTCAAACTATGTGAGGCTGTGACCCATTGAGGCATATACCAAAGGTAAAGAAAACCCACTGATGTTGCCTTGATTCTCCTTTTGTGATTACCTATTCAGTGCCATGAATAGGTACAATTAAAAGACTGTACCTTGGCTAAAATGTAGCTGCACCAACTACCATGCCCCTGATGCTTTCATTATATTGTGGCTTGCATGACATTGCAAACATTATGTGCTCAGTGGAATGATGCAACAGGTGCACAGCATTTTAAGCACCTGCTTCTATCAGCCTGTATTGGGACAGACACCTTTACAATATAATTATTGATATCAACAACTTTCTATCGACCTACTTAGGGAGCCAGAAAATTTAAGAATTGCAAGCAGCCAATTCCTAATGGTCTTTGGCAATCAATGAGACCAACTAGGGCATGGTGTTCACTATCATCTGCTGCCAAAGAATGTCCTTTAGTACCAGCTGTGAATGCAGTGCAGATTCACTTGGGTTAATTTGTTCTCGCTACTCTGTGATTCTAATATTTTTGTTCTCTCCATGAGCCAAAACCAGATTTCTGATAAAGCATGACATGCATGTCAATGCCTTATAATCAGATTGCTGCATGACATTTATTTTGATTCAGTATCAGAGGCATTGAGATCCTGGGAGGCCAGTGGAGAAAACATTCTATCAATCATTACCCAATTAGAGTGATGTGATTCATGTCATACATACCTACATACCACACATACCTGTTTCATTTGGTGTTGGATGACAAATATCCCAACACAAATGCTTAAAACCCTGCACACCAAGTGACTTGCCGAAATGCGCCTGAAAAGAGCATTGCATCAGCCGCTTTGGATGACGAACACTGCTGGCGTTGAACAGAAGTTGGCTATTGGCTAATGACTGACATGCCCTCCTTCCTTTCACTATCGAACCTATGCATGACCCGCTCAGGCAAACACCCCAAATTGGAACACATCACACGAGGCTTCCAAGCACGTTGTTTCCTCCACACACCTAACATCGCGCACACTTCGCCAGTCCAACAAATCAATACGATCGAGTTAGGCCAGATGCCCACAAAGGCATCCAAAATGGCGCTCCGTATTTGCCGGTGGTCCCCAAAGAGCAAGGATACCACAAACACAACCTGCCATTCGACAATTCTTTGTGTTGCTTATACGTCATTGTATTCACCGGCCGGTGTGCTCAAGGTTTTCAAAAAGCGAAGTCGAAACGTAATAAGTGGAAGGGGCGAAGGGAGAAAGGGTAAGGTTAGGGTAAAGTCTGGATGAAAATAATGCGTTTTCTAAGTTGAATTATAGCAAGAACTTAAAGGAAATGTTGCATCATGAATGACTAAGGATGACTCTTAGTCTTCCATGGTTACACATTTGAAGATGTCGACGCAAGCACCAGATATCATGAAATGAGCTTACCGTAACCATTGGCGCGCTTTTATCCGAATATGACTTCCCTAGACAGCGAGCTTTAACTATTTAGCGATTATGTCACTCAATACGTCATCGTTTAACCGTGTTATGAAGAATGTTTATGACGTTGGGTCACTGCGAGATTGACCGTGACAGAATTTTCACGGCCAATTATTACGGACGGGCTGACTCACTAGAAGTGCTTCAATCTCCGGAAAGGAGGTCGAGGTGGCTTTGGTGGTGTTGACTGAACGGAACGTCGTTACCCACTCAGCATGTCCAACTGCGACCCATGTGGATCCGAGATGGACAGCCGCATAGGGCCAATCTGGGCTACCCACTTCGATCCTATGTGGGCATGCCATGGGCAACCGCTTGGGTCCCCCATGGGAATCCCTCCTTGGGCCCATATGGAGCCAAGCTGGAATCCACATGGTGCCCACCTGGGTGCCCAGTTGGGACCCACATGGGCATCTCCAACTGCGCCCCACATGGGCAGGCCACCTGAGCCCATATGGGACCAAACTGGAACCCACATGGCGCCCACCTAGACTGCCCAGTTGGTACTCAAGCGGGCATGTTCAGCTGGGATCTACATGGTTCATGGGTGTAGGAACGGGGGCGGGGGGCCCATGCATCCCACTTTTCAAGGTGAGGGGCCAGCAGTGTTAACTGCTCTCCCCTCCTCGACTTCCCGAATTAAGGTTGTGTTCACCTTCTTTGCGCTGCATTTTTATACATACCGATTTAGCTAGTTACACCAGCCATCTTCCTGAAGATGCGCCATTTTTTCGTTTGCTCATTGACCATCCTGAAAATTTTAAGACGAACATGGCAACACGGCAGCCATGTAAAGCAAGTTTGGGACCCGCCATTTCATGGCACAATCTACGTCGAGGGAGTTCTCAA